AAACAGTGCGACGCTATTTATGTTGTGCGTGTGTGTGGGTTTGTGTGTGTGTGTGAGTGTTTCACCGGAGCAAGGCCGCTTGTGCGAGTGCTGAGGCTTTCAGAGAGGTTCCGTCGGCCCCGCAAAGTTTTGCAAAAGCAATTGTAATTGTGTCAAAAATTTTGCAATTACTGGCGCTAGAAGTAATTAAATTACAATTGCAATTCCTTTTAGCCAAAAGTAATTAATTACAATTGCAATTCCTTTTAGCCAAAAGTAATTCATTACAATCACAAATTAGAAAGAAAAGTAATTAAATTACCGTAATTCAATTACATTAATTGAATTACTACCCACGTATGATGGTCGTAACTGATTATCTTTGTTGTGACGTCATACGTATGAACCACGGTCGTCTCCACGCGCTCTCTGGTGCTGCTCTTGTTCGGGGCCTGGGAGAGGTAGGGATTTTTCGCCCCTTCAAAGAAGAAACGTCAAGACGATAAATGGATCTGTAGGTTTGTGAGATAAAAAAAAAACAAGACTTCGCTGCAATCTTTCGGCTCCTCCCACCACCATGTCATAACATAAAGAATCTTTGTTTTTGACGAGTTTAACGACCCTGGTCGTTCACCTGTTTCTCGATGCGCGAGATTTCTGTGGAACGCGGTCCAACTGCACCAGTTCTCGCGCAAAGGGAGCAATTGTCTACTCTATGAGCTCGCATCTCTAGCAAATCTTGACACAACAAAACGCGAAAATCGTTCTGAGCTTATACGGAGCGCAAGTTCGTCTGCTGCTTTTGGAGAAGTTGTGGTGACGTCAGAACGCCGAGGTATGAGCTGCCTTGAGCTGTCTTGAGTTCTACCCACTATCCTTCAATCAGAGCCAATCAGAGCACGGCGTTCTGACATCACCACAACCCGTGCAAAAGAGGCAGACGAACTTGCGCTCCGAATTTTACTGGGCTTCGCACTATACTTTTATGACACCTTCGTTGAGCTTTATCTTTCTGTGTAGTGCTGAAGAACGGATAAAGCACCTTTCGACGTCCGAACTCGGTCGTCCAAAGACAGTCGAAAGCGGCAGATTTATGCCTCCGCCGCTAGGGTATGCGTCTCTTTACGTGGTAACGTCAGGCCATGTGGCGTCCCGAAGCGGTTTTTTTTTTTTTTATTTTTTTTTTATTTTACTTTGGAGCGCGTGAAACGGCGTCTCTTGGCTCACGCTCTCAGCGTTTTAACTTTGACATGTGCTTCGACGTCGTTATAATTGTTGTTGTTTCTTTGTGTTTTCCTTATGATCTCGCATTCCTCATCAGAGCAGGCGCGATTATACATGTGTGACAGTTTTAGACGCTCAAGCTTGTACTATCCAAAACAAGTCCTAAAGAGTCCCATTTTCGCAGCGTCCCCTGGGCAACGCTGGAGGCCTATGGCATATGCACGACAATAGAAGTGACGCGTCAAAAAATTGCAATTGGCGGTGCGCATTTATTATTTTAAGGATCTCGGAGGCCAATTAGTACATATATTTCAACGTGGGTATATTCGGATGACGGGTCGGCCGCTTTTTCGTGCACGTGCTTGGCGATTAATAGATTTTCACAAAACCGTGATGACGCAATAGACGTGGGATTCACAAATTCAAGCTCGAGGAATTAAATACCTCAAGAGTTAGAAACAAAGAAACTATTTTATTTTGGTCAAGTGTCTCATTTTAGGTCCCTGCGATATTTATTTTGACCGTGGGACTTGAAAACACACAAAAAAAAAAATGAGCCTCAGCTGTTGTAGATATTCAGTTTGGTAAACACGAAGCAGGACTGTCACAAAAGTTTTATACTCACGACACAACAAGAGTAAGGCCAATGTTAAAGAGTCACACCATTAAATGATCAAAATTCTCTTGAGCACTGAGTGCAGAAACAGTTGGAATGACTGCAGCCTATTGTTTTAATTTTATGGATAGCTATCACAGACTTTAAAGTGGTCATAAGACGATATCGGGTTGGAATGCTCACGAGTTTAAAAAGGCGTATAGTGGTCCTAGTCTAGCTCAAGTATACTCGCACGGACCACCCCTGAAGCTTGAGCTTCCTGGTCGGGGAGAAATTGCGAGGACAAAAGGGGACAATTTCTTTCAGTCTTGCCTTCGCAAAGGTTGATGACGTAATTGCGGGATCGAAACCACCCACCTGACGACAGTTGAATGCGGCTCAACTGCGTGAGCACTCGACTTCAGATCGTAACAATCAATGCCTCGGCGGACACTCGGGTAGTGGCTCCCGTCCAACCACTGCCGTGATGAGAATAGCCGAACTCTAACAATGTCCCAACGAGGTAAAGGCAGGGCTTAAAGTCTGGGGCATCTCAGGGGGTCTCGGACCCCCCCACCGATTTTAAAGCATGGTCAGAGACCCTCCTCCACAGCCCCAGCATTAGTGAAATCAAAATCATATTTTGCAATAAATAGCTTGTTTTCAGAAATGTGACATTTGGGGATTAGCAATTTGAGGGTTGCAAATACAGCGTGGGTAGAGTCCGCAGTGGGGTTTATTTTATGTGCATCAAGTACATCTCGTCAAAACAGCCCCCTGCCCCCTTACCTTCTTGTAGGGACCCCCCTCAACTTACGACTGGGTAGAGGGCCTTGGAGCGATAAACAGCACCTAAAAGTGACCCCCAGTTGGCCGCCGCCATGTTGCACATTTTTTACCACTAGACACGTGACCTTATAGTTTTACGTCTAGATTTTAACAAAGTGCCGCGCACAAATAATTGCTTATTGATCTTTATTAACAGCACCGACTATATCAGTTATCTTTCGTTTGTTTTGAGTTTAAAATGTGCCTTTACGACAAAAACACGGGCAGCTTCGCAATGCCGTCGCTATTGCCGTCAGCCGCGGTGCTGTATTTTGGTGTTTTTTTTTTTTTTTTTTTTATCGGAGATAGACACTGATCTCTGGGGCTAACATTATTGAAAAAATAGTTTTTCATGTTTTCTACAACGATCGCAATGCTAATCTTGGCTCAGTTTTGCGTAAAAGTCTCAGGATTTTGGTACGGTCAGGTGATCAAAATTGTACAACATGGCGGCAGCCAAGGGGGGTCCTTTTGCCTGGTGCACGGAATACCAGTTTGTCGCTCTAGGCCCCCGTTGCAATGCCCGGTGCTGAGCACGCGTTTACTACTTTACCAAATTCAGCGCGTGGCTACGATTAACGTCCGCGGCATGAAAGGCACCAGGCCACGTGGCCGCTTGTTCTGGCTCTTTCTCTCTCTATCATTTACCTATTGTCCTTTTAGAGCGCAGCTCTTAGGGGCCCGTTTCCAGCCTAAGCGGCGTCGGCGTCGCCGTTGGCGTCGCCGTCGCCGTCGGCGTCGGCGTCGGCGTCGGCGTAACCGCGCCCCTCCCTCTCTTCCTCCTCCCCCTCCTCCTCCCCTCCTCCTCCTCTTCCTCCCCCTCCTTCTCCTCCTCCCCTCATTGTGTAGTATGGTCCGGGCGGGTCACGTGACCTCGGGGGGAGGGGGTCACATGACCCGTTTCCAGCCTGTGCGGCGTCGGCGTTGGCGTCGGCGTCGCCCCTCCCCCTCCTCCTCCTCCCCCTCCGCTCCTCCTCCTCCCCCCTCCTCTCCCGCTGTGATGATGTGACTTAAATGTGGAAAAGAAGAAATGCAAGTCAACCCATGGATCGGCCCAGAGGGAGAAAGGAAGACGACGAAGAAGGGAAGATTTTTGGAGCGCGTGCTCGGAGGGCGTGAAAGAAGACTGGCCGAAGAGAACGTGCAGAGGGTGTGGAACGACACCATCGACCAGGGCAATCGGCGGCCTCCTACTGCTGACCAGCAGCCTGTTCCAGCGAGGGCAGCGCATAGAAACCTACGCTGCCCGGCTTCCTACTGCGCGAGCACTGGTTGTGGTGCGCTCTTGGGGCCGCCGACGGAAGCCAACCGCTCCCGCTCCTGACTTCCAGCCACAACCGTCGGCCGACAACGACAGCTCCAGACGCAAGACCCACTGCTGCGCATGGTGACTCAAAGACATGGTGACAGTTGCGTTTTCCTTGCTTCAAATTTTTTTTTTCTACTAAGTTTTCCTTTTTTTTTCTTTTAGTATAACCATATGAACTCTTTGATTTCTTTTGTAAATACATGTTTTAAGAAAAACGAAGGACATTGTATCTTGTCAATTATTAACCCCAAAGAACCTGGCAACAATTAACTGGCGTCCGCGACAGGACAAGATATTCTGTTCCTTCGTTTTTCTACGTAACAATAGTTAATCAGAATGGAGGTTAAAGAGTTAATGTCTTTGGGCGCTGAGTTGGGACTGGCAGGAGCGGAGTTGAGGTGTTGGGTGGACGAGGAGCGAGCACGCCAACGAGAAGAGAGGGCTGCTGAGAGGGAAGCACAGCGCCTCAAGGCAGAAAGTGAGCAACGCATTATCGAATTAAAGATTCGTCTTGCAGAGGCTAGCGCAACCGAGATAGGACGAACAGATGGCAGTGAAGGGTCACGTCGCGCATCTCTATCGCTATCTCCTAGTCCTCACAAGCTTATGCCTCCCTTCGATGACAAAAGGGACGATCTCGACTCGTATTTGAGGAGATTTGAGCGGGTAGCTCAGGGGCAAGATTGGCCGCAAGAGAAGTGGGCGACTGCTCTAAGCATGTGCCTTGTTGGCCCAGCTCTGGAGGTCATAGGTAGGATGTCACCTGAAGACTCTCTGAATTATGATAAGGTGAAGAGGGCTTTGCTCCAGCGGTTTCGGTACACGGCAGAAGGGTACCGCGAGAAATTTAGAGAAAGCAAGCCGTTGGACGGAGAGACAGGGAGCCAGTTTGCTGCAAGACTAGAAGGGTTCTTCGACCGGTGGGTCAGTATGAACGCATGCCCAAAAACGTATGAGGGGATTCGTGACCAGATGATCGGGGAGCAATTCCTTCGGAATTGTCATCCTAGGCTGGCTGTCTTCTTAAAGGAAAGAAGCTGTAAGACCATATCGGCGCTGGTTGAAATGGCGGACCACTTCCTGGAGGCGCGGGGCCAGCCTAATCTGGCCAAGTTCAGTAAGGAGGCCAAGGAGGCCTTAGATTCCCTGAAGGAAGATGTGCATGGCAGCAAACCCGCTCTAAAGATCAAATGTTTCTTGTGTGGCAAGTTTGGCCACAAGGCAGCAGATTGCCGATCAAAGCCAGAAACACGCGTATTCTGTCAAGTGTGTCAGAGGTCAGGCCACGAGTCTAGATCATGTCCGCTAGGAAAGAACGGAAAGACAGAAGTTTCATGTTTCGTAGAACCCGATGATGATCCTGTTGGTAAGACGGACGCGTTCTTACGGGGAAGGAAGAAAATCTCAAGAAACGCCTTCAGAACGCCCGCCATGAATATGATTGAAAAGGCGAGATCATTTTTGTCGGAAGGTATGCCAATCACAGATGGGATATTAAACGGCAAAGCAGTAAAAGTGTTGAGGGACAGCGGGAGTAACACCGTGATAGTGCGCCGGGAACTGGTCGCATCTGAATATTTTACTGGCAAAGTCAGTCCCGTATTCTTAGTGGACGGGACGTGTCTGATGTTGCCAGAGGCAAACATTCGCCTTGTGTCGCCGTTCCTAACGGGACAGGTAACCGCCAAGTGTATGAACCGTCCTCTGTATGACGTTATCGTAGGGAATATTCATGGAGCGAAAGACTCGACCGAGCAAACCTTGAAGGTGTCTGACGCGGAAGGCGAAGTCGTCGCTGCCGTCGACGGTAGTATGCCGAGTAGGCTAAACCAACTTAGTAACGGTGCGAGTGCCAGGAACGGGGGGACCTGCGGCTCTCGCAGTGGGGTGACACCGATGCCAAGGAGCGCTTGAAAAGCAGGTCAACGTGCACTCACGAGCAGTACCTGGAGAGGGAGAAGCTGCTGCAGCAAGTCTTCGACATGAAGAAGCCGGTGTACCCCAAGCCCCGCAGAGTGCTCTACCCGAGGCCGCGCCTCAAAAAGAGGGACCCTGAGGCCCAAACGGTGGTTTCGCCACTGGGCCCGACCGATAACTACCCCGTGCCGGAGGTAGATCCTCACGACAGCGTCCCGACCGAGTTCATCAAGGGCTACAGCCTGGCAGGAGCCGACCCTTCCGTCTCGCCCGGAGAGCACACCATAGAGCACGGAAATGGAAAGGCCAAGAGGAAGTGTCAGGATGGACGGCAGGAGTTCCTTGAAAGGCAAGTGGACCGGGAGCAAATGATCCAGGAAAAAGAACTGCAGCTTGAGGAGCGAAGGCTCAAGCTCGACGAAGAGCGGCTGGCCTTTGAGAGGACCAAGTTTGAAGCAGAGGTGGCGGTCAAGGTCAGAAGGCTAGACATGGAGGAGGTGGAGCGCAGGATACGCGACGGCAGAGACAAGATGCACCTGGAGCTCATGAAGATGATGTTCGACGAACTAGTCCGGAAGGCACAAATCGAAAACTGCCAGGAAACACTTCTTCGCGTATGAAGTGCTTTGGTACGATGGTGGCCATTATCACCGAGCGTTAGAAGAAGCGTAGTGGATTCAAATGATTCTTCATTACGATTCATTCATTACGATTGAGAGGAGTGCAAAGTAGAATGAACTGTAATAATTTATCGTTAGAATTTGTTTCTAGTAATATACCTCGGGTTATGCATTTTTGAGAGCGTATTTGCAAGGAAATTTGAGAACGGGTGGAGGCGTTAAAGCAGTTCTTGTGAGAGAATGCGACAAGCCGGTATTACAGTAAACCCATGAAGTGTGAAGTCGGTATAAGGACAATAACATTCCTGGGTCATGGTCTGGTTAATAGAGAAGGTTCGTGTGCATTTATATGAAACGCATTTTGTTGTTTAGACGACCCACCATCCTTTACAATGTCGAGACGAGGCGAAACAACTTAACAGCCGAGTGTTACGCTGGGGTCTGATGCCTCAAGAGTACTCGTTTCGCGTGGAGTACATTTAAAGAAGAAAGAATGTGGCTGCGGGTTATCTTATTAGGCTGCAATGAACTTGCGCACATCATCATGGTCTTGGTTTTTTTTTGTGTATGTAATTTCTTTTGGTACTTAAAAAAAAAAAAAACTTAAAGGGGGGCTCCTTGTGATGATGTGACTTAAATGTGGAAAAGAAGAAATGCAAGTCAACCCATGGATCGGCCCAGAGGGAGAAAGGAAGACGACGAAGAAGGGAAGATTTTGGAGCGCGTGCTCGGAGGGCGTGAAAGAAGACTGGCCGAAGAGAACGTGCAGAGGGTGTGGAACGACACCATCGACCAGGGCAATCGGCGGCCTCCTACTGCTGACCAGCAGCCTGTTCCAGCGAGGGCAGCGCATAGAAACCTACGCTGCCCGGCTTCCTACTGCGCGAGCACTGGTTGTGGTGCGCTCTTGGGGCCGCCGACGGAAGCCAACCGCTCCCGCTCCTGACTTCCAGCCACAACCGTCGGCCGACAACGACAGCTCCAGACGCAAGACCCACTGCTGCGCATGGTGACTCAAAGACATGGTGACAGTTGCGTTTTCCTTGCTTCAAATTTTTTTTTCTACTAAGTTTTCCTTTTTTTTTCTTTTAGTATAACCATATGAACTCTTTGATTTCTTTTGTAAATACATGTTTTAAGAAAAACGAAGGACATTGTATCTTGTCAATTATTAACCCCAAAGAACCTCGCAACACCCGCCAAGGTCACGTGACCCCGGGGGGTGACCCCTCCCCCCGCCGAAGTCACGTGACGGCCCGCCCAAGGTCATGTGATCCCGTCCCCTCGAGGTCACGTGACCCCCCGGACCTCTGCCCTCCTCCTCCTCCCCTCATTGTCTAGTATTGTTCGGGGGGGGGGGGGTCACGTGACCTCGGGGGGAGGGGGTCACATGACTTCAGCGGGGGGTCACGTGGCCACTCCTCCTCCTCAAGAGCTGCGCTCCAATTGGGCGTTACAGGAAGTTGTAAACGGCTTTCACTTTTTGTAACTAATTATGATTTTTCCCTTCCGTTCATTTCACAGTGTTGCAAACCAGCAATTGGCGCTGGTTGACCTCATTGTTTAATAAATATCAATTTCTCTCTCTTTGTTTTGGCTCCGAGTTGAAGGGATGAACGATTCTCATATTAGACGAATTTATTTTCCGACAGCCATTGTGCAGAAAGAAACAACAAAGGCATGTTTATTTGGTTATTAACGTTAAGGAGTGACTCTGAGTAGAATTTAGCGAACACACGCGCGCGCACACGCACACGCACGGAGGCCCACACACACGCGCACGCACGCACACGCAAACACACGCGGACGCCCACGGACGCACACACATGCGCACGCGCACGCACACGCACACACGCGCATGCACGCACACACACACGCACACACACACGCACGCACACGCGCACGCACACACACGCACAAGCACGCATACACGCGCGCACACACACGCACACAAGCACACGCACACACACGCGCAAGCCCACGCGCACGCACACACACTCATGTACGCACATAGGCGCACACACGCACACGTACGCACACGCACGCACACGTACGTACATGCACACGTACGCGCACGTATTGGTTGTCGTTACTTGTAAAAGAAGTATCAAGGAACTTATCCAACCCTGGTCAGCAGCGCCGGAACGCGACGCGGGAACCCGACGCGTTAACCACTTAGGTATACGAGGGCTCTTTTTATATCTTTATTCCTCAGCTACAAGGGCTTCACTGCATTGCTGGGCAAAATTATGATGACAAGCCTGCGTGCAGCTATTGAGAACCGCTTACGTAGGTGTGTTCCGAAAGATGCGCCCAGGAAGTTTTCTTCTGGCTAGAGGTCGTTTACTCACCTCACTAAAAACCTGGCCCATAGTCCCGCGACTTTTACAGCAAAGCTGTATATGACTCACAGGTCGGATTTCTGCAATTTTTTCGTGTCGTCGGCCTAACGGGAAAAAGACCTTCAGCGACTGAAACGAAAAGTGCATATCACGCATACAACATACAGCACAACATTCGTTTCCATAAAGAGAAAGCACAAAACAAGCATCCGAACCAGATAATTGATGATAAGGCGCTCCTGACAACGATGCAAAGAACGTAGCGCTCACCGCATACGTTTTTTCGGTAAAGATTACTGTCGCGGCAGCTTGCGACGTAGGGAGTGACATCACTAGCCTTTCATATATAAAGTTTTTGTTCAGTGCATTTACTTTTAATCGTCGCAGGTGATACCACAGCTTCGCTGTACAACCAACCTCACAGCGTGGATTAGAGCCCCAACGTTTTTTTTTTTTATTCACGTTTTACTTTTTTCAGGAATCACATGAGCGTAAAACTAGAGGGTTCAATCGAGAGAGTTACACCCGGCTTTTTAGCCCGTATAAATAAACTACGCTTCACAGAAAGCTGAAACTCTGTGAGAAAGTGACCCTTGTGGTGGTGGTAAAATGCGAAAATTTGAGCACATTATGTTTCCTGGATAAAAAAAAACAAAAAAAGAAAAAAAAAAAAGAAAAAAAAATTCTGTACGAGCCGACGTCCACCTAAGCCTCTTTCATCATACTACTATTTGAGCTTGTGGGCGCCTGTAGCATTTATTTCATTGAAAAAACTTGTCAATTAGAAAGGCAATATTGTTTTAAATTTTGCTGACAAGTTTTTTTCGCTGTTTTAATTGCTACACGAGCCCACAATCTTAAATTTCAATTTGATAAAAATTAGGCTTAGGTGGACGTCGGCTCATAAGGCATTTTTGTTTTTCTTTTATAATTTTTGATTCAGGGAACGTAGTGTGCTCAAATTTTCGCATTTCATCACCACCACTATATAGGGCCACTTTCTCGCGGAGTAACAGTTTTCCGCGAACCGTAGTTTATTTATTCATGCTAGAAAGCCGGGTTTACCTTTCTTAATCGGACCCTGCAGAACGAAAACTAAGTCTCATTTGCGTCTTTTCCTATAGAAAATTTGCCGGATTTCAGTCGCATTTGGAATAACCTTCCGTTCATTTTTGGGTCTTATTTTGGCACAAATACAATTTCAGCGACTATAAAGAATTTATATCAGAAATAGAATTAATAGCGATGAGCTAGTTTTAATTTCGTTTGAAACAAACAAGCAAACAAACAAATTTTACCATTGAAATTTTTTGAGGGTACCAGCGCTTACCAATATAATGGCGCAACGTGGTCCCTGGGCTCCAATGTTGGGATTGTCAGTTTGTTACAGGAAAGGTTTTTTTTTTTCTCACACATTCTATTTTTGGGAATCTCTTAAAGTCTTCACAGGTACATTATTTAAACGGGACAATTAAAAACCAAGTTTTACAGATCATGCTAGGATTGGGCTTATGCTTAATCTACGTGGGTGCTATATAAGGCGACATGCAGAAGAACTCCGAAAAGGACTGTATTCGGTGAAAGAGTCAACATCAAAGGACCAAGTGCCGTAGAGGAGATCGCAACAAATCTTTTCGCGATAAATAAAAATTATTAAATATCAGAGAGTTGTTCTTAGACAGGAGTCTGCGCTTTATAGCAGGGTATGTTTAATCGTAATAACGTTTCTACAATGTGAGTATCAAATATCTGAATATTTCACTTTGTATTTTATTGTAGATAATGACAGTACCTCTTTTGAATTTATTCTTCTCTACGACAACTACCGACCTTGATTCGAAAGTTGCGAAAGTCATACATATTTTTGCATTGATAGAGTTACATTTCTGGAGGCAGTTGTCATATTATTTGAGCTCATGCCATACTAAAACAAACAATTTTATGCAGGTGAATGTTTGTCCGAGTTCACGAGTAAACAAAGAAGAAAAAAAAGAAAAAAAAGACGGGGCTCCAATTCACTCTGTGAAGGCGGTTGGCCAGCGAAGCTGTGGTATCACCTGCAACGACTGCCCACTGCACGATACCAAATGATTGACGAGAGAAAAGTAAATGCACTGTACCAAAACTTTTTAGGCACAGGGTGTTTCAAGTAAAAGTGAGAAGAATTCCTAAAATTAGTGTATTCAAGGTAAAATGAGAATTTTCTTGGAACCGCATAGACTTGCAACCGGACGTCAAAAAATCCATGATACTTACTTATTAGTTTTTAATTAATTAAAATGACTAATTAAATTTTAAATTAGTGAAAATAGACACCTGGTTTTAATTAGAAACTTGCTGAGCGTCATCAAAAAACCCTAAATGAGTCAGTTTCACAGACTTTGAGCGCATGAGAAGCGTAGTAGTGCACTAAAGTTACCACTCGTGGAGCCGGTACAAGGCTGACGGTTTCGGTAAATCGCCCGCGAGATTTTTCCGTCTCTTATGATAGCCCCAGCCTTGAACCTGCTCCACGAGTGGTCACTTTAGCGCACTACTTCGCTTCTCACGCGCTCAGTCTCTCTAAAAATTACTGATTTCGGGGTTTTCGATGACGCTCAGCAATATTTAATTGGAACCATATGTCTATTTTCACTAATTAAAAAGTCGATTAGTAAT